ATCCAATAACTCAATCCCAGTAGCATCTTGATAACAGCTCGCCATATAAAGATGAAATCAGTTTTATCCTTGACTGAATTAAGCTATAGTACTGAGCCGAGGTGAAGTACTACAAATACACATCATTGACATCAATACATGTCTCGAACAAGTTGAATTATAAACTCAGAGATCCCATATTTTCTCAGACAGTAAATGAACAAAATTGCCCTAGCTTAAAAATTGTCACAAATTCACAGCGAATTAGAGATCCAGTCTCGACTCTGGAGAACGAAATAATCAAATGTACAAAACAAATATTTACCTTTATATGACAGTATAACTTCGACATGGCGAAGCGCTTCACTGAATTTCAAATAAACACACTTTAAAGGCATCCTTGTTGGCGTAATATTCTTTCCTTCTTCTCATATTGTTTCAATGATTTGTTATTAATCGGATTTCACTTCATAAAAGTCAAAAATCATTGAAAATCTCTTCGAAACTGTGTATTCCCACTCCTTGTATCAACAAATATAGAATCGCGCGTATATTACGCAATCGGACTGGAAACCATGGAAACGAGAGATAAGTAGTCTACCAAAACAAAAAGAATCGCACATGCGCAGCACGGACTGTAACCCGTCTTTAAACTAAGCAAGGCAAAAAGCCTCCATTCAAGAATATATCTTCTTCTCAAAAGGTAAAATACTTAAAATACTTTGTTTACTTCGACGGTATGTAAATTAACAGCGTTTGACTTGCAAGACGTCAAAAACGGACAATTTCAACGCGCTGTCGTTTATCGCGTATTCATTTGCCAAAAGAAGTATTTACATCAATTGAAAGCTTGTTTATTAAAGAGCCAACTAGTAGAAGCATGATCGATTTGGAGCTTTATCGCATGGTGAAAATCGGTTTTGTTGAGAGGGTATCGTAAATGTAGTAAGATAGTGTGCTCCAAAACTACGATGATATATATTCCTAAAAGTAACTCAGATTTCCTGTAAATCATGCATACCGTCCTTTGAATAACCGAAAACAAGATTCTTAGGGTTTTAGATCGATTAGAAACGGTTGTCGTCGTGAAATTTATCTGTAAAATCAGCGCATATTTTCCCAGAAAAAATGGCGATTTAGGGTGGTCGTGTTTAAACGGCATTTTCTCAAAGATAAAACAGCATTTGACCTAAAAAAATATATGGTGCATTTTCCGATATAATAAGGTATATCTGGGCAAAATTTTGAGCCAAATCGATTTTTCAGTCGTGGCTGCGAAATGTCTCATTTGTTCGATTTTTACTGACATTCACTCTTAATATTCAAATTTTATATTTTTTCTCGTTGATCAACCTTTCAGGACACCACTAGCACCAAAAATTTGCTGGCTACTCCACACGAAGACCGTGTCGACCGAAATGATTTGCAGCATAAACCACAGCAACTGGACATACACGCTGCAAAATGCCATACACTGGAAGTAATGGGAAGGTTAATGGAACGTACAGAATATTTCACTTGCTAATGGAAAAGCACCGTGCGATGAATTGATTTTTAGGAATTACATAGAGTATCAATACCGCAATACGGATGCATTCATGTGCATACGGTATTGTCTAATAACCAAAGGTTTGACACATACCAGATTGAAGTTTTATTAGTGAAATATATGCAGCATTAAGCAAAGCAAAATGCCAGGATGAGAAAATGAGGTGTTTTGCCCAAATTCAACTTATTTTGTAATTTACTATGTCTAACGCCAGACAATTTTACTTATCAACTAGAAAATGCATGCATGCAGAAACCCCTCAGCTTGCTGAAAAAACCCATTGTATTTTCCGAACATGAAGTATTTAAAGTAGTTGTCATGGTAACACCATAATTTTGTTAAGAATATTTTTACAAATGAAAAACCAATCTCGTTCCTAGGCTGAGGAATGACCCTGGCTGGGGCAAGCCACGTGTCACACGGAAATTTGATCGCCCAAGGGGGAGTAAGCAAAGTATCAAATTGCATGCTTCCACTTCCGCACTTTACAGTTTTATTGCAAGGAGTGAGTGTTTTGTACCGATCAACTTTGAGAATCATATATACTTCAAAATACTTGACAAATTTGATTTGTGTTTGCTTTTCAAATATAACAATATGCTAAACAGATTTTTATAGCAACAGATAAGTCAGGAAATCAAGCAATGAAAACGTATGATCGTATGATTTGAAATGGTTCTTATTTTCTCGGGCTTGGGCGCACTTTGATTTCACACGTTTCTACTCTGCATCTGTTTCCCCAATTTTTAAAATTTTATGATATGTCACTAAATTGTTGTTATTTGGAAGCGGTATAAACTTTGCATAGATTTTTCTACCTCCTCCGCAGGCCTTTCAAAAATATAAAATTGGTGGGAAACGAACGGAAAGGCCTGCGTACTAATTTCCAAAATGACAGGAAGCCACAAACCAAATTATATTTAATATATCATTTTACCAAAACTCTCTCCTCCGCAGAACACCGCGGAAAAACGTCTGCGCATGCACCAAATTATGAAAATATGGCGGGGAATTTGAATATCAATTTGTAAAACAAAAACATGCTTATTAATTGGTCAAAAATTAGTAAAACAAACGAGAAAATATAGCAAATGGGCAGACTAGGCATTAATTGAAAGCGTCCTGGCATTTAAAGTATGAAATGAAATATAATTCATGTAAAAAATTGTTGATTTTAGCGGACATGACTTCGAAAGTTTTTGCAAAATTATTCAAAACAAAAATTCAAACTCAAAAGTTAAGAAAACTCTCGAAAAGTTAAGCTTCTTAACCCACTCAAATTGTAGAATAAATCCTAAAGTTTAATTATTGTGAACACGCAAATTTTTTATATTTGGCGACACAGTTTTTTTTAAAGAAATGTATCTCAAACGAAAATTCGGAAATTGTCGTTGCTTAGTTGATAAACAAAATGTTTTACACGATAAATTTGTCAACAATCACCTTTAGTTCATGTTCTTGTACAATACAATTTCTTGAAACTTCTGGCTGTATTTATTCCTAGTTTTTAGAATGACATGTTTATTTTTGCGCTCGAAATCTGGCTGTAAAGACGCACAATGAAGTCACTCCTTTTTACCGCCATTTTGAGCCTTCGGAACAGCTTCTCATCAAGTTCGCAATACTATTACAGGTAAGGTTGACGCATGCGCAGACGTTTTTCCGCGGTGTTCCTCTGCGGTGGCTTACATGAAGCTTCTAGTGAGGAAAAAGTAAGCGCGCAAGGAGTGATGGGAAGAGCTAAATAATTGAGCCTCTTCTAGTTAATGCAATCAACATGGCGTCGTAGATATACTTTTGGAGTTCGGTTCGATCAACCATCGAGGGTGTTAAAACATGTTTTCGACTTTTATTTTCAGGTGTACTTGAGTATCCTGGGGTGAATTCAATAACAATATCTTCTTCTGTCCATTTCTATCGAAAAATATTGAGAAATTGCAAACGTTAACGAATATCAATGGATACGAGCTATCTAATTATAAATATACTCTTAATTGCAACATTTCTTCATAAAAATGACTTTCGATACTCAGATGATGAAGATTCATTTCAATTTCTTTCACATTTGCGTCGATTTCAAGTTTAAAAAAAGGTCAAACAGCTATTTTGGTTCAAAAACCATACTTCGTCGCATTTTCTGGCAGAGCCTCCTCGACTTCATTTAATCTTCCCATCACACCGCGCGCGCTCTCTGTTATTCTGGAAACTTCATGTAAGTTATTTGTAAATACTTAAGGAGGCTCTGCGGAGGAGAGAGTTACCAAAACAATATTAGTTTTTTACTACGTCTGATATAGACCGCTTTTCGTATCCGCAATATAAAAAAAACAGTGAACCAGTGAACACTGAACAAACAAGCACATACAATGATTTACAAACAGCAGATAAATATCAGTTTATAATTTGCATATTACAAACACGCAGCGCTTTTATGTAACACGTCGTATGTCAGGCATGTGGCCGTTTATCCACGAAATTTATTTAATTTATATTTGTCTTTTATTTATAGAGTGTAACTATTTAAATGCGTGTGTATATAGTCAAAACATCACATTTGGCCAAATGATAGATTCACAACGTCTATTGTCACTGTCGCTTGTGCTTGTAAAACCTTCCATTATTTGATTCTCCACGTCGCTTTTATCAGCCATAACTGCTAAGATGTATTTAGAAAATACTCGCAAAACGGGATTGCTAAAGATTGGCAGACGATGTGCCATATTTTGAAGAAATTTGACCCAACCAAGTAATCGATACCAAAAGTCAAGAAATCGACATGTTATTCAGCAGGCCTTACAGCTACCCAAGCCTTCATCTCAAATTTCAACCTGCGAACGGGCATACTCATTACGGGCTGTATGGCCTGCCGTGGAGGTAGCAAATTTTATACCTGTTAATTTCAATACAGGTCTCAAGAGCGACTGCATGTTTTGGACGTTCGGGAGGCAAACGTTGCACGTTTGGACACCAGCCAAATAGACATTGAATGTCCATTTTATCTCTATTGATTCTGAAATTATTTAAGTTTATAGCCTGTATATATGATATTGATTTTATTAAATTAAAAGTATTGATCATTTATATTAAACACTAGGTACTGTAGGAAGGTACAATACTTGGTACAAAAATTGTTAGAGAATCAACACTATAGAATTATAAACATCAGACATTAATTACTGCGCGGCTTTTTTGTTTGCACGAAGTACAATATTCATACACAGTATCTATAGATCTTCTACATAATTAATTCTATAGCGTTTTACCCCTGCCTCTTCTACAGTAAATGCAAAGGAATGACAACAGATAAGGTTTAGCGAAAGTATTTCTCTTCTGTTATATATTTTACAGGAAATACATGCATGCAACAACCCCTCGCCTCAGTATTCTACAAACATTGTCTCACCATGAAGTGTTCGTAATTACGCCAACAGGGTCAGATTGTGAATTAGGCAAAATACCATTGTATAAAGGCATGCGTGATATGGTTATGCAGAACAGGAACAAACAACTTACAGTTGTTAATGGTCGGCTAGCACATGTTATTCAAATGGAAGGAAATACGGTTTTCCTAAAACTAGCAATTGAGAACATTGTGCAAATGTACCCTGTGTCTTTTCCAACAGATGATGGTACTATAAAAACAGCCATACCTCTCATGCCTGCATACGCACTGACCATACCAAAAGCACAAGGTATAACTGTAGAGCAGTGTATTGTTTGGCTTGATACTCCTGTTGTTGCACCCGGAGGGGCATATGTCGCACTTTCTCGTTGTAGACAAGAAGATAATCTTCGTTTTAAGGTCCCTATATTGTCCTCCCAAGTGACACCTGTTTCCTTTGCATAATTCGTAGTCGACAAAAAGCAATAACACTCGTATTACTTTGAGAACTATGCATTGTCACATTTTATTGCACATTTTCCAATAACACACATAACACGAAACGTATATGACAAGTTCGGAAAAACATATTACTACCATAACGGAATTTCAACTGTCACAAATAAAATTTGTCAATCCATATACCCATAGTATTTAACAGTAAAATATCATTCAATGTTGCAGCTAATTCGTGTAAATCATTTTCTATTGATGCAGATGAGTCAGCCGTCATCTGCAAAGTCGCCGATCAAACCCCAGGGGGGTCAAATGGTGGCAGCAGTGTGTCCACAGTTTTGTAACGCCATACGGTGAAGCCAAAGAGGCCCCAGAGCCTTCTAAAATCCTGAATAGGCTGCAGCCATTCACATGCGAATGGCTCACTAGGCCTGATATTGCCCTCTCCGAGTATGCCGACACCATAACATCGAATATCCCACTACTAGAGGAGAAAGGAATTAAAAAAATGCTACACTCTTCCCGCGTTGCAAATTTGATGCAGCATTTCCAACCAGTTATTCAGAACTTGGACGGTCTAAACAAAAAAAAAAGATAGTTCTCCACCTTCTGCAACTGATGCCAAGCAAGTTCTGAAGAGCTTGCTGGAGAACGACGACCTGGATGCGACGATGGAAAAATGTTCCATGTATCAGGTGCGATGTTTGCAATTTCTGCTAACTATTTGATCTCAAGCAGTATCCTCCGTCATCCAAAGGACCCCAAAAGCACAAATCTTCAAAAATACAGGATCGCCAAAGGACATAAAAAAACTACATACTATCAACCTTCGCGGAAGACCATTCAGGAATCTCTTCGCTTTCGCGAAAGGCTTCCAAAACGGTTACAAAAGCTTTGTTAGATTCCGACAATGACGACTCGGAATCCACTACAAGCGCATCATCATCATCATCGTCCTCGTCCGATATTGTGCAACCAAAACTGCCAAAGAAACAACAACCACCTTCTAAGAAAAAAGATTCATCACCGTCCATCTCCAATGAAAATGTCCAACAACCACCAAAGAGTAAACGCCCGAAAACAAAGTAAACTGTAGTAGAAATCGCGGAAGACATGGAACAGGACATCGTCCAGACAAACCTAAAAAAGTAATGAGCAAGAAATGAAGTACACAAAGTAACCACGTTCTATATTCATACTTTATTACGAGATGGGGAAAATGAACAATGCACATGGAACAGGCTAACCTAACAGGTGAACATGTTTCCATGGCGCAAACAAAAAATGCATGCTAACAAAAAAACATTTTAGATTATAGAAATATACTCTGTTGTCTTATCATAATTCATATTTTTGTTTATTGGAGAAAATAAAAAAATGGACTTGAACTTATTTAATTTATTTACTGGACAGCCAGATTTAATCAACTTTCTTGCGAGTGTTGTGACAAAACAATTTTTGGCCATGTATGCACTAATTATTTTAGAACATACAAAATCAGCAATGGCAGGGGGGGGGGGAATATTGGTGTAATAAAATGTAGGGTGGGTGGGATGGGACATACTGTAGAAAAACACCTTCTTGTAGCTGTGGTAACCTTTCTGACACCCTAGGTTAAAACTCATAAGGACTAAGGGATCGATAGGCCATGCTTTCACAATTTCTATTCATACTGAAAATCAAAATCAAGTGAGCTTGTATCATTTTGTTCTACATGAGATTTCCGTTCTCATTGAGCTCACCTCAGGACACCTGCGTTATCATTTGACAGCCGTGCCGCCCCAGCCAAACTCCCAACCTGACAGTGTCTTCGGCTCGAATCGACCAGCAGAAGAGCGATCTTAATGCTAAAAAGGGGACGTTGGCGTTGCCACGTCATGTTGGTCATGGCAACACGATATTTTTTTTAAAATTGTTTTGTACAAACCTGCAAACAATAGATGAAACTTGAACACTTTTAAGTACAGAAGTATCAATTTCTAAAATATATAAAGTAGGTATATTATTTTGGATTCTATGTGCTTTATTTTAATGTAAAATTGAAAACGAAACTCTTCGTAAAGCGTTTTTCAATGTGAATTGAAAACTGAACTGCTTTTTGCCTATAACCGAACCCAGCTCTTAAACATATGTTAGGAGGTGGGCTCGGGTTTAAGCCCACCACTTCGGAGCCAATAGGAAAGCCGCTTTTACACTAGGTATGGGATAAAGTTGCAAACATACTAAACATAACAATAGGGAGCCCCTTTCAACCTCAGATCTTTCCTAGCTGATGAACACAAAAGACTGCATGAAGTGTCGAAATATTCGATCATGAGTTGTAACTTCTGTTAAGTTTTAAAACCAGAGTAGCGTTATAAGATGGATGATAAGTATACCCATGGTATTGCCGTGACTAATTCTTATATTTATTTTTAAGCGAATATGTTATGACTGTTAGGGTGATGAACGGCCAAGTGATTGGAAGGCAAAGCGATCCATGTGCACACCAGGACTTTTGATTTCAAGCTGTGGCGCAGCTCTTCTCTTACAAAGAGAAACTTTTACCCTCTTCAAAATGCTAAAAGCTGTCGTCACATTGCTCGCCAGCTTTTATTTGATGGATTTAGATTACCCTTCAGGGTCACTAATTTCTTTGTCGGTTTTACAAAGAATTATTTTTGGTGATAGTGCAGTCCACCCAGAGTGTAAGGAAGAAGTCGTAAAAGCTTGGAACGAGTTAGATGTGTTTTGTCACCCAGATTCTTGACTATCCTTATAGTTCAATATACTTGCAGCTCATCTGGAAATAACTTAAAAGTGCGAATAACTATACTTAAAACTGCGAATAACTCGATTTGAAAATAGTCTAAACTGGAACGTTTAAAGTTAAAGTGCACTTGTCGTATAAATTTGTTTGTTTGACTGTTTTTGACAGAATATTCAGACATGCATGTTTCGAATGTCATTGTTTGTGGTTATTAGGCTAAATCCTTGTTACTGTTTTTACTATGTAATAATCTATATTATATGTTTTTAATTCTTTTTTGAAGGGAAAAATGTTGAATCAAGATCTTTTGTCAAGAAAATTTCAAAAATTATCTTGTTACCATATCTTATTAAGAAAAGGTTTCTTAAATCAAGGTCCCCGTTGAATTTTATCAATTTCAGTTAGGATTATGTTGATGAGCAATCTTTCGCTGTGCAAATTTAGAGGGCTATATTATAACAAACCAGTCATTGGTGACACTAGATGATCTTCATTCAAGATTCATTATCGGAAAGGAATTGAATGTGACATCACAGCACCACGACTTTCTACTCAACTAGTATATCACACGTATACCCTTTCGCGAATTAATAGGGACCTTTAGCAAATAGGTGACGGCAACGCGACGACGGCCAAAACAAACTCGTTCAAATAAGTAACTTTAAGATCAACATGTCTTGTATTATCCGTTGTATGAATGTCATGCAATTTAGAAGGTTAAGACAGAGGTTTATAGTTGAGAACACTTCTACTAAGCCAATTTGGCAAGGACGACTTCTCGCTGCTTGAAAGGCAGCTGCAACCGCGGTCCCGACGGAATACCATATTTGATATGGAAAGATTATGCGGAGATATTTACCCCTGTCGTTGAGACTATATGGAACATGTCTCTTGCAAATCAGTATTGGCCAACCCGTTCGAAAGTTGCGAATATTAGCCCGCTTGCTAAAATTGACGTCTCGACAGAATATCCTGACTTTAGAGGAATTAATGTGACTACGGTTATCGCAAGAAAGAACAGTATGCCAATTTGGAGGGCTATTTGAATGTTTCACAATTCGCATATCGAACAGAAGGTAGTTGTGTTAATGCCTTGTTAAAAATGCAGCATATTTTTCTTGCTGCTTTAGATAGAAATGATACTACGGCAGTTAGATTGTTTAGGCTACTATGGATTTCTCAAAAGCATTCGACAATGTGAAACATTATCACCTGGTTGAAAAATTGAAACAGAGTCCTCTTAATCCTCCTTGCAGATACACAGCAAAAAATCATTTTCTTATTAAGAAAAAAATTTCTTAATTTAAGAAAAAAAATCTTAAAATAAGAAAACATTTTTCTTAGTAAGAAAAAATTTTCTTGAAATAAGAAATTTTGGAAACCCAAGATATCTTTTTCTTAAAATAAGAAAAAAATTTCTTAATAAGAAAACATTTTCTTAAAATAAGAAAATACGATTTTCTTACTTTCTTAATAAGAAAACATTTTCTTAAAATAAGAAAATACGATTTTCTTACTTTAAGAATATGTTCGTAAGACAAGAAATGAAATTTTTAAAATACAAAGTTATAAAATAGTAAGACATTATTGCTTAAATTTTCGAAACAAGAAAATGTAAAATGCTAGTGTTATAGGACGGCAATTGATAAAACTAGAATAGTGAAGCGAATAGTGCGAATAGTGCGAATAGTCGACGAATAGTACGAATAGTCCGCGAATAGTCGACGAATAGTACGAATAGTCCACGAATAGGCGACGAATAGTACGAATAGTGCAATAGAGACTTTGCAAGGCTTTGCAGCAGTGCTATAGAACTAAATTTACCGGGGGGGGCTCTGTTGACAAACATGAAATCGTGAAAACATTCGTCGACGTACGTCAATGACGTCTAGTGATTGTCATCAGTGGCGCCGTGGCCGGGGGGGGGAATGGCCCTCCCCTATTGTTGACACCCGTCGTAAAATTGCCAATGCTGCCGGAAATTGTCGGAAAATTGTCAAGGCTGTCGGAAATTGTCAAAGTTGTCGACGGGGGGTGAAGATTTAAAATGTTGTCGTCCGGAAAACTTTTTGGTTTGTCGGAAAATTTTTTCGGTTTGTCGGAAAAGTACTGCCCTTGCCCCCCCCCCAAAAAAAAAACATGGGTCCCACGGCGCCATTGGGTCTTTGGACTTTGAAAAACTCACTCGCGCATGTTATATCCAAATTGCACTCGAAACCATGCTATTACCTATATGAATATAATGTTTTTGATGCTACTCTGAGTGTATATCCACACCGAACAAAGTTGGCCTCGTAGCTCAGTTGGCAGAGATTGGACTAGCATCCCAAAGGTCACGGGTTCGATTCCCACCGTGCTCAGGTTAACTTTTCAGGCTGCCCGGTGTGGATATACACTCAGAGTGAGATCAAAAACACTATAAACGTCTAAAAACGTCTAAACGGATGGAGCAAAGTCGCCAACGTTAATGAAGGTAAGTTTCTTTTTAATATTGATGTGTTGTTTGTTTTATAATTGCTTTAAAAACTGATACGATCGCTGCGTATGCAAGTGAAAAAACGACAGCATATAATTCCAGTGTATTTTTATTAATTACCTTTCTTTTGTATATTAAAATATTTAAATAAAGAGGAAAGCAAAGTTATTTTCATGCGAGAATTTGAAATCAGTTTATTTCAAGCTTAATGTTTACCGATAATTTGATAAAAGGCAGTTTAGTTTAAGAACATTTTAAAACGTTTTGCGAAGCGTTTGTGGTTGAATTTTACATTAAATTAAAACTTATATTACGTATAATAACATACCTAGCACACAAATGTTTGGGAAATTGATCATTTTCTAATAATTTAATTATAAGCCCCGTTTACACTACGCTCAATTTTTGGTACGGCACGGATAAAATTGGTACCCGTACCACTTTTTTGGTTCTTTAACTACCTATTTAGCTAAGCCCCGTTTACACTACGCTTAATTTTTGGTACCGTACCACTTTTTGGTTCTTGGACTACCTAAATAGGTAGTCCAAGAACCAGAAAAGTGGTACGGGTACCAATTTTATCCGTACCGTACCAAAAATTGAGCGTAGTGTAAACGGGGCTTAAAAGTGATGTTTTGGGGGATTTTTCAATTTTAAAACTATTCTTAAAATTATCGTGTTACCAGGACAACTACTTTCAATACCTCATGTTCAGAAAACATAATGGTTTTATTGTCAGTAAGGCGAGCGTTTCTGCATGCATGTATTCTCTAGTAATACAAAATAAATTTACTTATGATGTTTAAAATTTAGGTCGTTCAGTACGGCTTCAAACAAAAGATAAAGACAAGAAGAAACTGGGTCGTTTGGCAGGACTTGCTATTGAAGCTGGCTTCAACTGGGTGGAGTATACCGACTCGAAGTACATCCGGGCTTCTGTTATCCCGGATGGTGAGTACATTTTTAAATCTATGGCTATGCTGCCCAGTGAGAGTCATTCTTGTTGTATGAGCAATACTAGAGCTTGGCTTAACTTTTCTCATAGGCGAATGACTGAAGTTGTCGTTCCAGATATATGTAGAGCTCACTTTTGCTAGAGTCAAACTGGAAGCATTCTTCTCACATGTGACTGAGGTAAAATTATAATCAGACAACTGTACATTGCAGAAACGCAAATCTCAGTCACAGGGATGAAAGATCCTGCACTAACACTGCAGTGGCGTAACATTATATCAGGGGGGCCCCGGTTCAAAATATTCGAAGGCCCCCTAGTAGAAGTGCCAAAGGCACAAGTCAAGCGCCGTATATGCACGAGTTTTCTAGGGGGTCCAGGGCATGCTCACCCGGAAAATGTTTGAATCTATACTCTCTGAAATGCCATTTCCTGGACTTTGGGGAGAGATTTTACAGAATTCTGATGGTCAGAAAACGACATTAGGCAGATTTAGATCGAGGACGCAGACGTCAAAGACGACGTGAAAATGGCGTGTTGTGCCCATGTATGGATATTCCACGCCATTTTGACGCCATTTTCACGTCGTCTTTGACGTCCGCGTCCTCGATCTAAATCTGTCTATTGTAACATATCAGAGGCCCTGGCAATGTTTTTGCTCTAT